GGAGGAGTAATGAACAGCTGTTTCGTTCCAGTTTGGGACCCTCCAGCAGTGCGCCCCCACCGGGGTTCGAAGCCAGTACATTCTGATTAGAAGGCCAGGTTGTAGACCATTGATCCACTGGTATCCGATCCAATGGCCCATGAATTCTAACTTCTACCAATTCGTGACATAGCGCGACCACTTCGAAATGTCTTCTTCGATGAGTTACTGCCTTATCTTCAACTTGCTGTACCCTGCTGGTCATGGCTTCCCACTAGAACCCTAGGTTGCTGCCTGAATAGGGCCATTCGCTAGTGAGCATCTTACACTTTTGTTTATTATATTTTGATGACCGTTTCATGGCTCATTTGACTGGTTTTCAATAGTTACTTTGTAATGATTCGATTTGTTTTTGCGAGTTGATCACAGATTGATATCATTTAGAGAACTACTGAATTGGTAGAAACGCGTTCCAGCGGCTGAATGGTATACGAGCTTTCCTAATAACCGGAAGGTCCTGGGTTCGAACCCTAGTGGCTACGTACTGCTGAAGATTCCCAAACTAAGATGAAATAGCTGCCCAGGACTCCGTGAAGGGGGTTTCTAATGGTTCTCTGACTTATATCAACCTGTTATCAGCTCATATGATTGGAAAAAGTATTTTAAAAACAAGAGATATCCTCCTTTTTCCATATAAACCTTTGTTATTTTCATTTTGATTAATTTCCTTGAAGAAGTTCGAACCAGTCTGCCAAAAGTAGGAAACGTTGGAATTACTCATTTCCATGTCACTGGGATTTTACAAAAGTAATTTTTTACTTGTGTCTACTTCTCACTCAGCGCCCAATTATTTCGAAACTATTCAGTCAAATCTTGATCACAGTTCATTTGGATTATTATTGTTATAAAATAATGGGGAGGGTTTGTTTCTCCTAAGTTCTCTAAGTTCGGTTCGGCTTCATGTCTTACAGTTTTTTGAAGTTCTAAATACAGTTATGTGAGTAAGTACTGTCTCCTATTTTACAAATAGATATAACCTCAGAAACTGGTTCAGTGTTATTTTCATATTTCACTGTCTCATTTATCACATTGTAGTGCTGAGATACGGACAATGTGTGTTTCAACGGAATATTATTCGCACATATTCCCACAGTTCAAGGTAGCATTGACAAAAGAATATTATGTATATTAGAACATTCTATTTCATGCCAAAATCACACTCTCAATGACTGATTAAAGTATATAAATTGCATATATATATATATATTCAGAACAAAATAGAGCGAACAATTGTGACTTCAATAAATTTCGCTTCTTCAGGCTCTACAGTTATAAATCCATTCATTTAAACATACAATAGCCAGCCTGTAAAGACAAATTAGAATCATATCAGAAAGTGTATTGTGGAACAAGTATAAGTCAGATGGGATGGAACAATAGTCAGTTAGTTTTTTAATATGCATGGTCAGTGAGAACATGAGGTAAAATGAGATGAAATAATTTAATCTAATGAAGTGTGTATATATAAATATAGTCAACAAAAACACAGGTTTCGAGAGTGAGTGTAATCAGGGTGTGTGTGTCAGCACTCCATAAAACTTGACCAGACGTTGTCAGTTATTTACCGCAATCCTGGTAATCTATCTAGAGGAGTTCGACTACGTCTTCTGTCAGTAGCTGGAGCGGTAGCAATCAATACCAGAATACCAGATCTTTGTATACAGAAGAAGTATGTTCAACCTTATGTTTACCTTGACCTACAAAATAAGGTGATCAACAAATCATCCATAAACATTAGCACTACAAATTTCTATCACAATTTTCTTTTCTTCTTCTTCTATTCCTTTGTTTCATTGACAAATGTTCATTTTCGACTTTTATAGTTTCATGACCTTTCTTATGATTTTATTATATTAGGTTTAAGTAGTGCTTTTCTAACTTGCTATCGTATTTACAAAATCCTGTTCATTCCACTTCATCATATTCATTATTATTATTGTTATTATTATTATTTGATAATCATTCACCAATAGTACTTTTAATTTTGCACCACATCATCGTTATTACTTTACAATTATTATTATTATTTTGTCGTTATTTGCAACCTTGAACTTACGTCTGGTTTATTTTCTGTAGTATTCATATTGTCTCACACACCACTGATTACACTCATCTTCGAAACCTGTACTTTTGTTATATATATATATATATAATTACATAACTAAATTATGATAGCAAGCTACGTAGAATGGTGACCACATTGCAAACCTGATTGATAGAATTCAGTTCGCACCAAAGAAAGGACTAGACACGTCACACTTGTTACTAATATCCAATCAAAGTACCCAATACAGTCCTACAGGAGGTCAACCGCGAGCCAGCGCGAATAGCTCAGTGGTGAAGTCTCTGACTGTAGCACTCACTGGGTGACGTAGGCTCGAATCTCAGAAGGGAAATGAGTTCCTCCAAGGTTACAGATACGCCTTGCTGACTGACTGGTGAGTGCCAACTAGCACGAAACCTAAGTCAGGTAGGGCTTCCTGTGGCCGATTGCCTCTAACTATCTATTATCACATCATTTTATCTCATGTTCTCATCGACCATGCATATTAAAATGCTAACTGGCTATTGTTGCATCCCTTCTTATACTGGTGCCACAATACACTTCCTGATATGATTCTAATTTGCCTTTACTGACTGGCTATTGTATGTTTAAATGAATGGATTTATAATTGTAGAGCCTGAAGAAGTATATAAATATATATAAACAGCGGTATGAGCAATGGAAAATATACCTTGGTTTCTGTGTCTAACCTTTTGCTGTTACAACATCTTTCGAAGCTGTAGTGTCTTTACTAATAGAAAAAGTTGGTGTCATTTAACACTTTATCAGTGAATTATCGGAAACGCTTATTTCCCGATACGAATTTAAGACAAGCAACAAATGTAAATATAGGGTAAGATTTGATGGATTCATGGAATTTCTACGAATCTCTTCAGCTAAATACTCTACATAGACTACAGACATGTTACTGAAGCGGTCAAGTGATTCATTGTTGTCAAACAGACAAACAAACAGAAGGATGCCTGCACTTTGAGAGGCTTACACAATCAGAGTTTATAAACTTGGTCTATGTGTACAGAAAGTAATGGTGGTCAATTTGAATCTACCGTGTTAACATCTTTTAGTTAATGACTATTATTATTCACATTTTATTTCATCTTTTATCATAATTCTTGACTCATTTGTAAGTAAAGCTGAAAAAAATGAATTCGCCAAAGACAATCTCTTTGCTGAACTAATTGTTTTTTCATGAATGACTCGATAGGGAATTAATTATGAATCATTTAAAAATCTGGATTTTGAGTGGATGATTTATGTTTAATGTCACACAAACTCGAAGACTTGTAGGTGAAAACCAACAAACTGGCTAAAGAGGCTGGCAGTGAAGACAGGACACCAGATGAACATAGAGAAGACGGAGATGATGAAGATAACCACCCAACAGAAACAACAACCAGAGCCAATCACCATCAACGGAAAGAGATTTGGCAGAGGTTATCTCCTTTACTTATCTGGTCAGAAAGCACGGTTACTACCACAGGCCGGTGGAACGGATGAAGATGTCAAAGTCAGTCAGAGTCGGAAAGTCAAGATACGCCTTCATCAACCTGAAACCAGTTTGGAAATATTCTGCACTCAACATAAGGAACAAGATTCGGATTTTCAACACAAATGCACTGCGTTTCACGTAAAGGATTTCCAACAGGTTGCAGACCTCTATCAGCATCTACTTTTGATGGCTCCATACTGAAGATCAAATGGATGGTCAGAAAGAATTAGCAACAAGAAACTCTGCGGTGAAACAAACCCACCAAAAGTCGACTGCTCAACAAATATGTAGGAAAAATGGAGATAGATTGATCGGGCATATGTTCAGGAGGCTGTCGAATGACATTGAGCTCAATACAGGTCATCCACGGAGTGGAATCCCAATGGGAAGCAACGAGTGGTTCCTTGGCGCTAAGGTGACATGGAGGAGATCGTGTGAAGAAGAGATGAGAGATTATGGGCAATCGTGTGGCTAGCCAGCTGAAGAGGACAGCACCAAACAGAACAAAGTGGAGGTATGTTGCTGAAGCCCAATGCTCCACTCGGAACCAAAGGAATGATAATAAAAAAAATGATAACATTTGAAACTATCCTTCGTCAGTACAATTATCTCATAAGGGACATGAAATATTTTAAGATTACATATACACTTTGGTGATGAATGCCATCCAGCACGAACCCTTGGTCAAGTGGAGCTTCCTGCAGATTGCTTCCAACAACCTAAAAATAATTCACAGTGAACTGTGACAACCAGCCACCCAGCATGGAGGCCACATTGCAAATTTGACTGATAGAATTCTGTTTGCATCAAACGAAGGATTAGAAATATGACACTAGTTACTATATATTGTCAACAATGTGCAGGTAGGGGGGATTCTAGTGGGAAGTCGTGACCAGTAGGGTACAGCAAGTTGGGTGTGAGGACAAATACTCGCCACAACATTTAGTGGTCGTGCTATGTCATGAACTGGCAGAAGTTGTAATTCAAGGCCTGGTCATCACATCCAGTCCCAGTGGCTTAATGGTGTACAAGTTCGCTTTGCAACCGGAAGGTCCTTCGTTCGAACTCCTGTGGTGGGTGCGTGCAGATAAAGAATCCCGAACTAGGGTGAAACAGCTGTCCAGTACTCCGTTGGGGTTTTCTAAGGGTTCTCTAACTGATGTCAGCTCATGATGAAATCCTGTGAGCAACCAATCAAATCCCTACAAACCAAATACTTGAATGTGGCATTTGTTTGGCGTTGAAGCGAAGAAAACACCGACAATGCCTACAGGATCAGAGTGAACATACACTTCTGTCTTTATCAAACCATCAACCAGAGTTGAGAAAATCGTATTCCTCATTAGATAAACATAACAAATAATTAATAAATAGTTCTGTTTTTTTGTCCACTTAAAACAAACGTACTTTACACTGACATTCTCCACTGTCTGTAATAGATTGTGTTCCATGATAGTGACAATCACTCGGTTCAGGTTTAGTATCACATTTAGCATCCGCAGGTGGTTCATCACCTGTATCCACAGCTAGTTTACATCGATCACATTTAGCGTCAATAAGTTTCCCGTCTTCATTCACTTTACATTTACAGAAATAATCGTCGTCTGTTTGTGGATTGAAATGACATTCTTTAACAACGCTGAAACTAGAAGAATAGGAGAGAAAATGAAGCAATTGTTACCAAGATTACAGTGTTGTTAATAGTGTTTTGCAGTAACCATCTCTAAAAGGTGATGAAATATTTCCCATTCACTAATTCATACATATATATCATATGTACATTACTGACTGAGCAATTTCTAGTCCCACTTAATGCCTTTTTCCGTAATATAAATACGACTGTACAGCTTGAAAATGAAGTCGTTGAAGAGAAATATTTCTTCGCTGAACAAAAATTGTGCTTTTCTTTATGAATGAAATATTTATTAAGTACAGAGTTGAAGATGAAGTTTCAGCTTAACAATATTTCAAAAAGCGGAAGTAATCGCACTATAAACGGTGTGATTACCGTCATATCAACTCCCACACACGACGGGAAAAGTAATCGATGTTTGTATTATTGCACCGTGATGGTGAACCACCTAAATGGTTGCAACATTGCATACTTGACTGATAGAATTCAATCCATACTAAAGATAGGACTGACTAGCATCCAGTTAAAAGTGATCCATGTGTTGAATACTCTGAGATCAACGCTGAGATGCACAAGATTTACACCAAGAAACAAGATCTGAATTTTCAGGTCACCGCTTTTATATGGTGTGATACATCCAGAAAGGTATTGCCAACAGGCTGCTGTTGAATGTAGTTCGATGTTGGAGATTAAAGTTGCCGGCCAGAAAGCACAAGTAACAACAGAGTGTGGTAAGAAACCAAGAGATATCATCCAATACTCAACAAATATGCAGAAGGAAGATTGAGGCAGAATGGACATAGGATAACGAAATATTCGATTGATACCAGACGCCAAGTAAACCTTCAAGTAAAATCAAAATGGGAAGCGATGATATAAGAATAGAACTTGTGCACTGTAGTAGAGTATAATTCCATTTTGTTTGTTATACAGTAATATTTACTGATAACGTTTTGAGCACAATTTATTGTTCCTCATAATCACATCAAGGTACTCACACAGCTGTCTAACATATAAACGAAGTGTGAAATTTGTGTGAGTACCTTGATATGATTATGAGCGGTAATAAATTGTGCTCGAAACTTGGTCATCAGTAAATATTACTGTATAACAAACACTGTGCGACTTTATGAAAATCAATATTATTCACAGTGGGAAGCGATGAGTTTGGAGTCGCAGGCAGACGTGAAAAAGTTCATGTGAGAGGGAAATAAAACCTTGGGAGTAGTTATGTAGCCATCTGAAAGCGGTAGAATAGAACTGAGTAGAATGGGGAGGTGATAACGAGACCCCGTGTTTCATTTGGTTTGCAGGGTGGTTAACAGTAATAACAATGTAAGCAGGGTCAGGAATAATATCATAATTGATATATACTACTCACTGGTATAAACTCTTAGAAACCTTCCAAAATAAGTGAATGTCTCTGAATGCATTCCTTTACTCATATACAACAATTACATTCACACTCTGTGCTTCTATCATAGTAAATTTCGAACTGATTGTGAGTTAACTCAAAAGTTAAGTGTGATGGCCAAAGAAAAGTGGCTAACGTAGACAGTCGAATAACTTGTGACAGAAGGAAAACAAGTTTTCATAAGGGTGTAGTGTCACATAGATTTAAGTCCATTTGTTGCACTATGGAAGACTATACACCACCAAAACTGTTCACACCTTCTACTCCTAAAAATCTTCTCTATCTGAATCTACAATCCAATGCAGAGTCACCATCGGAAATATTGGCACGAGTATTGTGTGAAGAGACGAATATCAGAAAAGAACTTTTACAACTTTTAAATCATTATTAACTAAACTATAAAATGTAATGATGCATATTATTGCATGTGTGACTTGTTATATTATTTATTTAATATTCACTATGACCTAGAAATGGTGTGATTTTGTTGGGTTTTTTTATTTTTTCCTATTAATTATCAATATTTTTAACATTTCATACATTTATATAATTTTACGAGTTGATCACGGACTGATATCAGTTAGAGAACCATTGAAAACCAGGGAGTACTGGACAGCTGCTGTTTCATCCTAGTTTGGGAATCATCGGCAGTACGCACCCACTGGGATTCGATCCCAGGACCTTCCGGTTACAAGGCAAGCTCGTATACCATTCAGCCACTGGGACCCAATTCAATGGCTCATGAATTCTAACTTTACCAATTCGTGATTTTAGCGCGACCCCAACTATTGTCGTTGGTGGACATCCATCCACACGTGACTTCTAATTGGACCTCACTGGTCACGACTTCTCACTAGAACTGCAGGAAACTCCAACCTGTAGCAAGTCACTAGCGAGCATCAGAATAATTTTCTATAGTTTGGTTTGTAAGGATTAGTTATGTTTTACGAGTTGACTTGCTACAGGTTGGAGTTTCCTGCAGTTCTAGTGAGAAGTCGTGACCAGTGAGGTCCAATTAGAAGTCACGTGTGGATGGATGTCCACCAACGACAATAGTTGGGGTCGCGCTAAAATCACGAATTGGTAAAGTTAGAATTCATGAGCCATTGAATTGGGTCCCAGTGGCTGAATGGTATACGAGCTTGCCTTGTAACCGGAAGGTCCTGGGTTCGAATCCCAGTGGGTGCGTACTGCCGATGATTCCCAAACTAGGATGAAACAGCAGCTGTCCAGTACTCCCTGGTTTTCAATGGTTCTCTAACTGATATCAGTCCGTGATCAACTCGTAAAACATAACTAATCCTTACAAACCAAACTATAGAAAATTTATATAATTATAAAAAGAGCTAAACCAATGCAATATGTAAAATGAAACGCTGAAGATTCCATGCTGTAAATTGTTATTGTTGTGGAATAAAGTGATTATTATTATTATTATTGGGACACCTTCTCTCCTATTCACTGGAAAAGACATTCTTCAACTCTCTTTCTCTACGAAACGGTTGATTCGCATGAACATAAAACATAAGCTACTGATGCTGGCCTCATCAGTGTTTATATGTCAATTCACCTACTCCTATGGATCAGAGTATGTCGGCCGTACTCCGACTTTTCTATCCAAACGTATCATCGAACACTAACTCTGATGGTTTTATAAGGGAGAAAAAAGATCTCCTCACGACATCTCTATCCTGGAATAAGTGATCAAATCTGGACATTAAGCTAACCCGCAAACAAACTTCTAAGTTACCCACAGAATACGTGGGAATCTTTCTAAAAGATTACGAATTTAACTTCTTCAAACAGCTGTAGCAATGGAAATTCACACGTTAAATCCTGAACTTTGCGTACAGAAGATGTTTGTTCAATCACTAAATCTCCAAAGAACCTGATCTGTCTTAGCACCGGATGCGTAATTTTTTTTATTTTTTTCTAGTTTTATGATTTTCTCTCTACCTCTACTCTCAACTAATAAATTTTGACTCATTACTACTGTCCCTAACTTGACTCTTAATTTTAGTTGATTTCTACTCATTCACGTCAATGAAATTATGGCACTCAATTTACTAATTTAATTTTTTTCAGTTTCTGTCCAATAAATGATTTCTGTATTACTTAGTTGTTATCTAAAATTTGCGTTTTTAATGATACATCTTTGAAAACTTCTCATCTGTTGCTGTATGTTAATGTACAGCTTGAGAATCTCATCACTGAGAAGAGTGACTCTTCTTTAAGGGCCGTTTCATTAATACGACTGATCACGAGCTGGTATCAGTTACAGAATCATTGCAAATCATGGGAGTAATGGACAGCCAGCTTTGTCGTCCTAGTTCGGGACTCTTCACAGTACACACCCATCAGGTTTCCAATCCAGAACCGTCTCGTTACAAGGCGAAGTCATCGGTCATTCAGCTACTGGTGTGGTGAGAGCTGTCTCCTAGCCAAAATTGGTAGACAGCAATTTACGTCAATTTTTAAGTCCCAAATTGGAGTCATGAGAAGAAACAAGAACAAAGCCTAACCTTGAGGAACTCAACAACCAGTGACAGCAAACTTAGTCTGGGCGGATACGATTCGCAGATATATCACCGGACTGTCTAAGAAACGGCAGCAAAGAGATGACGGAATAACCTTCAGCAGGAAAACAAACAATCAGAAGACGTTGCTTCTCCACCGACAATAATGTCCATAAAAATCTATAAATATTTGTTGATTTTCTGAATAAACGACCTGTTGCCTGAGCCTTGTCTTCTGTCGATGCACTGGGAACCAACCTTTTGGTCCATGAATTACAGTCTCAGCCAATCCGTGATATATTCAGCGCAAATGCCAGCCAGTGTAACAGGAGAGTAACTGCCCTCTTGTCTGACATGGTGGATCTTGCTGATTACAAATTCTCACTACCAGCTCACCTCGTAAACAAAAGGTCCGGGTTTCAAAACCCTGTGGACTGTCAAGAGTTCCAAACTTGGACGTAACAGCCGTCGAGTACTCTTAGGTCTTTCAATGATTCTCTAACTGACTTCAAGTTCACAACTGATCCTGTAACCAATCATATCCCAGCAAACCAATATTTGATAATCCTTTATACAACCTAGTGGGGTTATCTAAGCTGCTATTGCTTTGTTGACGATGATGGAGGATAAAAACAAATTTTTAAGGATGGTTTCAATTTACTGGTACATAAATATATTACATAGGCATATATATATATGTATATATATATATGAAGCCTATAATTCTGATTTGCCCAAATAGAGAACATATGGTTTTTTCATGCCGAATTACAGACTCCCTTCAGAATAATAAAAAATCTGCGGTAGATTTCTGATGGTTTTTCAATGTGGAGAGACAGATATATATATATATATATGTATTCCCACAAATCCTAACTGCCATAAAGAGCATAAATTAATAGACGAAATCACTGCCTTCCTTTTTTTGCTTAATTCTGCATTAAACATATGGTTGTTGAATGATATTTTGTACAAAAATAAAACAAGATTTTGTTTGAATTCTGATAAAGATCTTAATATCTGATGTTTTGGTAATATGATTCAAAGCTAATTGACTTATTATTCATTTCTTATTCTGAGTAAATAAGTCGAAAAAGTGATGATTGATAGGACTGTCTAGTCACGTATGCACTGATCAACAACTATCAATTAAGTAATATGATATGCTTTTACGAGTTTGACCACGGATTGATATCAGTTAGAGAACCATTGAAAACCACCATGGAGTACTGAACAGCTGTTTCACCCTAGTCTTTTGAGAATCATCAGCAGTACGCGTAAACCAACAGGGCTAGAACCCAGTACCTTCTTGTTGGTTACAAGGCAAGGTCGTATTCCATTCAGCCATTGGGAACCCTTTCGATGGCCGACCCATGATTTCTAACTTCTACCCATTCGTGATTTAGCGCGACCATCAACCAATGGATATCCTTCAAGATTCATCGAGAAAAACATGAAGTTAAGGGAAAAGCCTAAAAGAACCTAGACAGTGTCGAAGAAACTGCTACTGATGAGCGTTGAATTTAAAGGTGACACCGCTGCTCAGATCCTGAAAAATCGCTTATACAGATCACTGAGGACGGCCTCCTTTCCATTTGAGCTACGGTCCAATTTCTACAGCCGACAAAGGATCAATGGATGTGTGAAAGATAAACTGCCGCTTTGAACCACTTCAATGTGGGTTTATAAATTAACCTGCTCTAAATACGACTGTACAGCCCGTGAAGATGATTTCGTTGATGAAGAAAAGTTTCTTCGCTGAATTTGTCTTTTATTTTCTTCACAACTCAGTGGGTATTTTCGGTGATACAATGTCATCGGTGTCAAAGTCGTAAAAGCAAATCTAATCCCTACAAACCAACTACAGAAAATTAATCTGATGCTCGCTAGTGACTTGCTACAAGACATAGTTCCCTGTAGTTCTAGTGAGAAGTCGCGGGCAGTGAGGTCCACCCAGTCAAGTGTGTGGATACATGTCCCACCGATGACATTGGTTGCTGGTCACGCCAAATCACGAATTGGTAGAAGTTATAATTCATGGGTTGGCCATTAAACCGGGTCCCAATGGCTGAATCGTACACAAGCTAGCTTGCCTTGTAACTGGAAGGTCCTGGGTTCTAACCCCGGTGGTGGGTGCGTACTGCCGATGATTCCCAAAAAACTAGGATGAAACAGCTGTCCAGTACTCCCTGGATGGTTTTCAATGTTTCTCTAACTGATATCAATCCATGGTTAAACTCGTAAAAACAAGTTTAATCCTTACAAATTAACTCTTGATAATATGATATGGTCATCAAACGGATAGAAAAATTCAAGGTATCTTCCAACACAAACCGAAGTCAGTAAGAGAATCATCGATAATCAGGGAGCACTAGACTCTTCCACGATAACACTTCAACAGTCTACAAGTTGTCTCACCTTGTAATATAGTTAGATTGAGTACCAATTTAAAATAAAATGAACTGTCACTTAATAAACATGGCAATGAGTCACATTTATGATTTTAAGCCCGTTGATATTAACTATCTGTCTAATTCTGGCTGAGTGAAGAGGAAATTTTAGGCTAAACCTCATTAGCTAAATGTTCAATATTTAAGATATTGACTACGTCACGCTCACGGTGAGAAGAAATCGTCAATACTAGAGGTAAACAAAATGAAATTAGTTTTGTCACTAATTATTAAAAGGCAAGGTTCGTTATTAGATGTCGAAATGTGTGGACCTCACAAAAGTTGAGTTTAGAATCCAGAAATCGAACAAAACAACCAAAATTATCCATCATTTAGATTGTTGAGTTGACCAACCTTTCACGAGATATTTGTTTGAAGTTAGTTTTAAATTTAACCGTTGATTGGTTGGACGGAAATATTCGGCCACTGTGGACACGTTGACTCCTAGTACGGATACATCGACAATGTGCGGAGATTAACATGAAATAATCTGTTGGATGATGAATAGTACTGGAAGGCTTAGGATGCTAATTTTAACCTATTATGGACTAGTCAGCTAGATGTATCGGCAATCCTCAGTGAGTGGTAGTGCTCCTACTCAGACTCGAACCCAGTGCCTTTCATCCAAAACACCAATTCATTATCTACTAGAGCACCTGGGCCTCGAGAACTGCTTTTTGAGCGGCCAACTTCATTTGCTTGATGCTGACCATCAGGCATTATTGAAGTGAACGAACTAAGAGCCGACATGTCAACAGACTCCCGACGTCTGGATCTAACCAGTCAACGGGGAAGTCCACAATGACTTAAAACAAATAATATCTGATCCCTGTGGACCCAGTGGCATGGTGAATAAAGAAATGACGTTTGAAAAGAAGATTACTTGGTTCCAGTCTCAATGGGAACTCCACCACTCACTGGAGATTGTGCATATATCCAGCTGACAAGTCCCAAGTAGGACGAAATGCTCATCTTGGCTTTCACTGCTAGTTATCATTCTTGAAGTCATCTGATGAGTAGGCTAAGTATATTCAGCTCTGCCGCATGAATGGAAAATGACATTACATAACATTCGGAAGTGAATTAGAATAGAAAAATTAAGAAAAAAACTTACTATGGTAAATTATTGCCACACATATCACATGGTTGACAGTCACTAGTTATCAGATTTTTATCTGGACGATAAAAGCCTTCTTTACACTGTTGACATCTTGGCCCAGCACGATTTCCAGGGCAGTTAATACAATTCCCGTCAGCATCACATTTATCACATGCACAGAATGGTCGACATTTCAATGGATCCTCAGGATCTTTTTGATATCCAGGTGCACATTTCTGTAATTCAGAGGAAAAGAAAATCATTATCGCCTTTAAAAATATATCAGAATTAAATACAAATCAACTAACAGTTCGAAACTTTAACTTATTAGTACCGTGCTTTGCATATGGCGCTTTAAGTGGCTATATGGTGTCTTGTAAACTAGACTGTGATATGTGGAGTTGTTCGCCAAGTGCCTGAGCCTGCTAGTATCTAGTGTTAGGTGGTCGGAGGTTGTCACCAAAAAGACCCTACATTTAGATTTCTTGCTTATTGATATTTATTATCAAGGCTTATCTGCTGAAACTCGAATCTGCGTCGGTCAGTGCTGCAGTCAGAAGCCCTACTACAGAACTACTCGAATTCATGACTGACCTCATGAAGGACTGTAGAGGATACTTTGATTGGTCACCTCGGAGTAACCAATTTTACTTTTCTAAACCTTATTGCAAACGGAATTCTATCAGATAACTTTGCAAGATTTTCACTAAGCTACGTGACTTGATAGTGACGAAAAATACGAAATCTAATTTTAAGGATACCTGCCAATTCCCTTCAACCAACTAAAGTCACCTGAGTGTGGAAAGTGACCACCTTGGGAGTTAGAATGATAGTATTCTTCGAGTAAGCTCCAAAGAAGTTTTTTAGAAGGACAAGGACAGCCTTGTAACTAAACCATCTGACTCAGACAACAAAACTACACCGAAATTATCCATTTTAGGAAGAAAACGTCTTCATTATTTCAAGACCTTTCAGTTTTGTGTTACGATACGAAACATCGTGAAAACGTTTGATCGCAACAATGTTAAAGTCCTTCTTAGTGAAGCGTTAATTACATTTTAAGATCTAAAGGTCTTCTGTATTGCATAAGTCTTAGGTTGCACAGTTGCCTTGAGAATACTAATGAGAACCATGTATCTCATGAGATCGGAATGTTCGTCGTAAGGTTGTTCCTAAGCGTATACAAAAGCTTAATTCATCGTTTGTAGTGTAGCAACCGGTACTATCCAACCTAGAATATAGCCCTTTTTTCTTTTGCTTAACCGTAAGTATTTCAAAGTATTCCACAATAATGTATTTCAATTTTGATTGGACACTAGTAACTAATGCGACATGTCTAGTCCTTTCTTTGGTGCAGAATGAATTCCATCAGTCAGGTTTGTAATGCGGCCACCATTCTAAGTAGCTCACTATCACGGTGCACATTGATTTGATGATATTAGATGGTTGGAGGCAATCAGCAGGAAGCCTTTCTTGACCTAGGTTTCGTGTTAGCTGACACTCGTCAGCAAGGCGTTTCTGCAACCTTGAATCGAGAGCCCGAGTAGCTCAGTGGTAACGTCCCTGACTGCAGCACTTATTAGGTGGCGTGGGTTCGAATCTCACGGGTGACATGAGTTCCTTCAAGGTTGCAGATACGCCTTGCTGACGAGTGCCAACTAGCACGAAACCTAGGTCAAGCAGGGCTTTTTGCCGATTGTCTCCAACTATCTAATATCATCAAATGTTTTTCAATGTTAACTAAGGTGGAATTAAATCGCAGTCACAAACTATGCAGTTCAGGATAATTATTCAGATCACAGAATATGATTCGCTCGATGATAGTGTAACTGAAAAAAACAAGAAGGGAAGAGAAGTGGCAAGCCAGAAGTACCGCGGCATTATGCTCCTGCTCATTCCAAGCAAAATACTATGCCGCATCATCCTGCAGAGAATCAAACATGTCCTGGGTGGAACACTTTGACCAGAAAAGGATGGTAGCAGGAGGAACAAGTCATGCATCGATCAAATCGCATCACTATGAATCATCACTGAACAGAGCTTGGAATGGTAGTCAGCTCCCTATCTCAACTTTATTGACTTTGAATAAGCCTTCAGCAGAAAGCGTCGATCGAGGGTTGATTTGGAAACTACCTCGCTACTACCAAGGAGTGCAGCCAACAATCTTACATCTCATCCAACAGATGCGCGACAATACTGCATGCCAAGTAATCCAAAACTGGAAACTCATGGAATCCTTAGAAGTTGAGACGGGAGTAAGACAAGCTGGCCGGCTGCCTGTTTACTGTCTCAATTGATTCTCCTGACTGTCGTAGACTGGACAACGCGACAGAAAATGGTGGGCAGCGAGGAAACAGCCATAAAATGAGCCCGCGCGAAAAACTTGGATGATCTGGACTTCACCGATGACATATATATGTCTGGTTTCATACAAACTGGAAGACATGCAAGTGGAAAGTAACTAGTTGACAGAGGAAGAAGCATCAAAGATAGGACATCACTTCAGGTGAAAATAGAGAAAACAGAGGTGATGAAGATTCCTGGGCAACACTAACAGAAACAGCAACAACAAGAACAGACAACATTCAGCTAGCCTAAATGGGAGGAATCTGAAAGAAGCAACCTCCTCTACCTACCTACCTACCTACCTGGGAAGCATCGTTTCAATTACAGGCGAACAAAACTGCTGAGGAAATCATCGAAGCGCGGATCGGGGAAGCAAGGCAAGCTTTCATTACTCTCAAGTCTGCGTGAGGATGAACAGCAGTCAGCATGAAAAACAAGATTGAGATTTTCAACTCGAATGTGAAGTTAGTGCTACTTCCTATACGGATCAGAGACTTGACCAACGCGTCACGAAGGGCACTTCAAACAAACTACAGACTTTCATCAACAGCTGTCTTTACTCAATACTTCTCTCAAGATCAGATGGCTGGCCAGAAAAGATTAGCAATAGGGATCTCTAGCCATGAGCAAACCAACCTAACAGGAACCAATTTTGCAACAAATAAGCAGGAAGAAATGGAGGTGGATCGGCTGGCCATACTCTGAGAAAACAAACCATCAAGTGACATCACACATGCCAGGCCATCGCTCAAGTAGAACCCAAATGGGAGGCAACGAGTTGGTCGTTAGTACGATGGTAACATGTAGGAGGTGATGTGAAGAGGAGATGGAAGCATGTGGGAAGACGTGGAGCCAGGTGAGAACGTTGGTAGAGAACCGAACGCAATGGAAACGTGTGTTCCTCTAGGAACTAAAGAAGAAAACAATAATAATAATAGATAGGATTCAAACTAAACACCTCCTGTGCACTACCAGATGAATTACGTAATCCATTTTTAAATTTAGAGAAATGATGGTTGATCACTGGACCAAGCAGTCCTCAGGCCTCTAGTTGGCACTCTAACATCTTCAATGAACATTCAACAACATCATTGTTAATACTCTTCCAAACCCCAATCCATCTCAAACTGCCTTCCCATCAAATGGACACAAATCATTCACTACAATGCTTCACATCTGTAAGAAAATGATGAATTAAAAATAAAATGCTAGTTCTTGAATAGAAACAGAGAAAAGAAGCAAAGCAAGGCTTTACATCTGTTTCACATATACACTTCATCTTACATAGACATCAGATTATTAAAATTTAATTATACCCTTAATTATATGTGTGTATATCTTATGATGAGGTAAGTATAATAAACCACAGAATAAGAAAAAAGAGGCCAGAAGAAAGATGTACAGATTGAGGTAATTTTTCTGTTATGTGTCATAAAATTAGAGCACATATTTCATAATTATGCCTTTTGCTGTTTTCTTCTTCTTCTTATAAATTGTAATTTATGCGAAATTCATAGACAGGTAAAGCTCTTATCCATGTCTTCTATTCTACTCCACTCTCCTTATATTCGTGGCTTATCTTACGAAATGAAAATCTGGATAAAGTAAATCTGACCGGTTATTTCTTCTTCTTCCTCTTCTTGTTTGAAATTCATTCCAGATGTACTGGCTACTAGTAGAATCTATGGCGGATGTTTCATCCTACTTTGAGACTCATCATCTGGACAAATACCCACTGAATTTGGACTGAAAAACTTTAGGTGCGCCTAGATGACGAGTCCCAAGTAGCATTTACGTCTTGGATTCCACTGCTGGTTGTCATCAATAAAATAACATCATGAAACTATATACTACTAATTGATTGAAATGAGTAGTTGCACACTACGCATACAAACCAGGAGTGCTAGCTAGCCAGACGGAGGTAGTCTAAACATTGGATGGCTGTATTACTCGTTTTTGAGGCGGAACTCATCAGCAGTGCATCAGGTCTTGACTCAGCTAGGGGAGACGAATCAGCTCGAGTGATATGAACTGATTCTACTGTCTTAGCTTAATCAAAACCGGGTTCACCGTTGAAGAGATAGGCCACAAACGAACGATGCAGCCGGGTGGTGTTTAGATAACCTCGGTCTAGCTTTCAAGCTCTACTACTGCTGGTTATGAATAGTATGCAACTACTCATTTCATCTGATCAGTAATATACGTATTTTTACGTAAATATGTGTGCTTTCTTGATAACCATTTATGGTAATAGCCACAAATTAGTTGTTTTGATGGATCAACATTACTCAGCAGCGAAAAATGTAGAGTCACCGGGTAAGAACGAACAATGCGCTCCTGAAACTTTAAAAGCTTGGAGTTCTATGTTTCACTCTGAACGTACAAATTTATTCAGAACAACAATAGGTGAGGTGAAACTTGATAAACAGTTTCATTGAAACATGTAGCAGCCGTTTTATATTCGTCTGTTTATTGGATATATCAGAGACAGTGAAACACTGTTATTCACTGGATGACATTTCGAACACAATTTTCTATTGTGTTATTTATTGTTAACTAATGCAGTTTTGTTTATTGAATCATAGGAGGACAGGTGCAATAGGAATCATTCAACCCCTGTCCCAAACGACCCAGGAAATTCTATTACTACCGCATAATATGGGAGAGGAGAACGAGAAGTGCAAATTATAGTTTCTAAGTTAAGTAGTTCCGCTACGCTCCCTTGATATGTGTATTTGAATACTACTCACGTCAACCGGATTACAGTTTCGCTCGTTTGGAGTTGAGATCATCCGAGGTGTACCCGTTTTAACCAAAATTCTGGCCAGCTTTTTGGGGGAAATGACAAACCGTGAATTCAGGTTCAGTACAATTTGTATGATTCTGAATAATAAGCTTTGTCTGAAACGTCTTACGTAGAAATATACACATGATGATGTAGTACTCCTTCTCACAAAGTTAAATGCTAGCATAAATATATGTGTAAAAATTGGGCACTGTAGTAGTAAGTAATTTCATATTAGTTTGTTTATTAGATATATCACACAGTGAGTGAAACAGTATTGTTTACTGGATGACACAGTTTAGAAGAAAATTTATTATTGTTCATAATCATATCAATTATAGTTACACGACTTCGAAACTTGAGTTTTATAGTTATCGTTGTTCTCTCTTATTCGTCGTCGTTTCGGGTAGTAGAATGCTCCAGGTGTCCGACTGGGCATGTGTTGAATCATTCCTGTTACACGTGTTTGCAGTTGATTCGATAAACAAAGCTTCCGTTGACATCAATCTCTCCCTCCACCATGCCACTACATTAGATTTTAAAACTTACATCTTATCCCATCCATCCATTCTATTGTATGGTTGTGTGGAATTGCATATAGTGAGTGCTATAGCTGAACTATCCCATTCTCTAAATTTCTTTTCTTATTCGGGTCAACCAATCTAGATTTTGCTAGGTTTTTATGTTCAGCTAGTCTGACTGACTCCATCTGTTCTACTACTTTGACCTATGTATTTGACCTGAGAAACGTTACAGGCAAGGTATTAGATAAACTAAATTGTTTTCTTTTAAAAGGCTTCACAGGATTGATCCTTTAACCGACAAAGCTTGTTTTTAATTGAGTTTTTGGGTAAATAAATGCCACTTTTATTCCTGCATTGTTAAGAATTCTGCGTAAGGTGGTTTCCGAGGTTCCTTCCTTGTATGGAATTACTACTGATGATTTAGATTCCTTATTGTTGGTGTTGTCATTATCCTGCGCATGTTTGACATGCATGTCGTCATTAATATTACTATTATTATTATCACTATCACTACTATCATTATTTATTTTATTTTTACATTTCCCTACATACTTTCTGACTAATTTATCAGGGTAATTATTAAGTTTCAAAACTTCTCTTATATGTCTCACTTACTGTCTTAGATTTTTCTTGGTACTACTTAGTTTTTTTGCTCTGTTACTTAGACATTTCACCAATCCTACTTTCACTGACATAAGATGAGATGATCGGAAGTACAAATATCTGTTTGAATGTGTGGATTTCTTATAAACACTAGTGTTTAACTTCCCATCTTCTTTCGAAACGTCATCCAGTAAATTATACTGTTTCACTGTATGATATAACTAATAAACAAACCAATATGGAATTAAATGCTAACAGTCACCTCTGAAGTGAAACTGGTCACTAAGCAAGATTGATAGACAAGTATTAAATTTCACTTCATTTTGAAATCATCTCTGATGATATTACTCAGAAGCACACTGAAAGCTTGCCCGTCCGACCCTCCTAGTTTAGACAGCATAATAAAATTAGAAATATTCACCTTACCCACAACTATTTCCTATCATTCTGTGTGATGCATAGAATTGGGTATTTTTAATTTTGATTTCTTTGAAACAAGTACTTTTTAGGTAAACAGAAATTGATTATTCATGTATTGAAACCTAATGAATGAAGAATAGATGTCTTGTCTAAGTTTGAGGGTTTTCAGTCGTATCTACCCAGGAAACAAAATGACACCTGGAAACTGATGCTCTACGTATCAATAGGTAACTGTAGGATGGGAATCTTGGACATTTAATGGGAAGTCATGACTGGCAGTGCCTACCGATTAGGACCTGTGGGCCACTTAGATGGGATGCATAAGATCAAGGCCTTGGGTTCTAACCCTTGTGGAGCGATGGGTACGAACTACTGAAGAGTCGCAAATTGTACGAAACCGTTGTCAAGTATTCACTGGTTTTCTATGGATCTCAAACTCGTATCTGTTATGGATGAGACGTGATATAAAATCAATGAAGTTTCTACAAACTGACATTTGAAAGAGAAATGTTAATTCGTGAAGCATTAAGTATCATTCATGAAGACATAATTTGTTAAAATAATTAAATGACCTACCTCACATGACAAGCCTTCATAACCATAAGGACATGTACACTGTTCAATCTCACCAACCCATTGACCTGGTACATCCGATTTAACAGCATGTTCAACACGTAAATTGTACAACTCCAGACTACTTTGATCACGGAAATATTTCACACGTAGACCAACTTTTTTCACATCACCTAAAACTTGCATAAAACCAGCTCGTCCAATTGTCTGATCAACTGGTTCTTTACATTCCTTATCAATATGCCAACGTTCACGTTCAGAAAGTCGTATATTCACTCGATTGTCGTATCCTGTTGGAATAATATGCACCAGGAGACGGTCTGTAGGTGGACACCAATACAGAGAACGATTGGATGACTGGAAAACAGAGAAAATATAAGAGGAAGACAACAGTTAAGTGAATGAAATAAATTTACGGCTTTAAGAGTTACACAGATGAAGTTACAACCCATTGGGTGTATGATTAAGTGAGTTCATCATCAAATTTCTGAACACCTCCCTTCTCGATAAGACGAAAGACTGAATAAAGTGGTACGTAGTTCAACACTGACCCGTCTTGTCGACACAGGATATCAGCTAGACACTAACATAGCTGTCAAACCTAGTTTGCATACCCTATGAGTACTCCTTTTGCAAACAGCAGAAGCGGCCTCATCATATTATTATTATTATTCTTTTGTGTTCCGAGTGGAATATAGGGCTTCAACAACACATATCGACTTTCTCCCATCTTCGGCAGTACTCTTCAGCTTGGACGAAGATTGCCTACAATCTCTCATCTCCTCACACGATCTTCTCTGTGTCACCGTAGGACGACCAACTCGTCGCTCCCCATTGGGATTCTACTTGAAGGCCTGGCATGCGATGTCATTCGAAATTTTCCTCAATGTATGCCAGATCCATCTGCACTTTCTCCTAAATATTTGTTGAGAAATCGGTTCTTGATTGGTTTTTTCCCTGAGTTTTCCTTGTTACTTATTCTTTCTGGCCATTTGTAATTTAGTATGGAGCGAGGAAACCTGTTGAAAAACGTCTGCAACCTTTTGGAAATCGTCTTCGTGACACGCATTACAAGTTTTTGACCCGTATAGAAGGACCGACTTGACATTTATTTTGGAAATCCGAATCTTGTTGTTTATGCTAGCTGAGTTAAAGCAGAATATTTCCAAACTGGTTTCAGGTTGATGAAGGCGTATATCTCCCCTTTCTGGTTCTGGCTGACTGGCTTTGACATCTTCATCCACTCTTACCACCTGTGGTTGAAACTGTGCTTCGTGGCCAGATAGATGAAAGGAGTAACCTCTTTAAAATCTCTCCCGTTGATGGTGATTGGTGCTGGTTGTTATTGTGGTGGTGGTTCGTCGATAACCTTCATCACCTCTGTCTTCTCTATGTTCACCTGTAATCTCTCCTGTCTTCGCTACCTGCTTCTTCAGCCATTTTGTTGGTTTACACTTGCAAGTCTTCAAGTTTGTGTGACATTCGACATATATCATCTGCAAAATCCACCCAAATAAGTCAAACCTATGTATTATTATTATTTTTGTTCCCTTGCGATCCTAGTGGAACATAGGGCTTCAATTTCACGCCTCCACTCGCTTCTGTCTTCTGCTGTACTTTTCACCTGCATCCATGTTAGTTCATACTGTTTCAACTCCTCTTCACACGATCTCCTCCATGTCACCCTTGCACTGACGTCCCACTCGCCGCTTCCCTTTCAGGTTCCACTCGACCGATGGCCTGACGCGCGATGTCACCCAGCGGCCTCCTCAGCGAGTGTCCAATACATCTCCACTCTCTCCAGCATAATTGCAGGGCGATTGGTTCTTGTTTTATTTGTTCCCACAGTTTCTTGTTGGTGATTCTTTCCGGCCATCTGATCTTCAGTATAGAGCCAACGAAGACAGTTGTTGATAAAGGTCTGCAACAGGCTGTTGAAAATATTCTTTGTGACCCGCCAAGTTTCTGATCCGTATGGAAGAACTTAACCAAATTGCTACAGAAACGTCAACGCTCAAACCTATGTGCTCAGAAGAAATCCGTTCAGCCTCTTCTCATGCCATGACCATCTACACAATAAATATAAACTCCTACGAATGACCTACGCCTATCCTTGTAACTATCACCTAAGAATGCATCATAGAATAAACTTATATGATGAAAAGAATACAGTGATACAGTATTATTTACTGATAAAGGTTCCATCACAATTGGTCGCTTATAATTCTAAGTAGCATATCAAGAAGTACAAACAGTAAAATGAGACGAGGAAACAAAAGGAATCTAAGGTGCATAGGTGAGGGACATCAGAACTCCAACATAGAAATGACAGTGCCAATAATATCTAGCAACTCACTCAGGAATAAACTCTGTTGGCTAAATAATCCTGTCAACGCTATGAGATGAAATGATTTAATTTTAGAAATACCTAGCAACAATTGTGGGGTCAACTACATGGGTCAGGATAGAAGTTCAGAAGTAGTCGGATTATTGGAATGATATATTAGTGTAGAGCAGTTGTTGCTTTTCGAAATGCGTAAATACTACTTATTTAAAAAAAAATAGAATGTGGAGTTCTGGTGTAATTGGTTGGAGGATTTCATCATGAGTTGACATCAGTTAGAGAACCATTCGAAAACCACCTAGGAGTACTGGACAACTATTTCGTCCTGGTGCTTGGTACTCTTCATCACTACGCAGCCACCACAGCGGTTCGAACCCAAGAATTTCTGGTTACAAGGCGAGCTAGTTCGTGGGTCATTAAACCACTAGGACCCGATGTTAGAATTCACGGGCCATTGGATTGGGACCCAGTGGCTTAATGGTCAACGAACAAAATCCCTACAAGACCATTACTTAAAATTTAATCTGATGCTCACTTGCGACTGGCCCTATTCAGGCAGTGACCTGGGGTTCTAGTGGGAAGTCATAACCAGTAGGGCACAGCAGGTTGAAGGTGAGGCAGTAACTCATCGAAGAAGACATTTAGAAGTGGTCGCTCTATGTCATGAATTGGCAGAAGTTGGAATTCATTGGATGGTCATTGGATCGGGTACCACTGGTTTAGTGGTTTATGAGCCAGCTCTACTTGTGACCAGAAGCTCCTGGGTTTGAACCCTGGCGGGTGGATGTGTAATGTGAAGAGTCCCAAACTAGGACGAAATAGCCAGCTGTCCAGTACTCCAGTGCTTGTTTTCCAATGGTTCTCTAACCAATGTCATCTCACAATGAAATCCTCCAACCAACCAAACAAAATCCCAAATAAGCCAACACTTGAAAATTCTGGTATAAATTAGAAACTCTTTATTGACTTCCTAGGTGCTACTTTAAGCCCAAAGCCAAAGCTGTGTACTCAAATCGTGGGGTTATTTTAGATTCTGAATCAATTTTACTTGTTATATTATCGTCATAAACCAGAATCAATTAAAGAGATCACTGAAAACCAAGGAGCAATGAGCAGATGTTTCGTCTGATTTTCGCATTCTTCATCGGTGCGCACCCATAAGCCCGCCTGCAATAGAACCCAGGACATTCAGATTATAAGTCCAAGCTCGCTGACCAATCAGTCACTGGAATGGAATCCATGGCTGCATACTGACGAAGAGCCCCAATTTAGGACAAAATGACTGCCGAGTACTCCTTGCCTTCCAATGATTTTTTAATTTATATCGGGTTGTGATAAAATCTGAATTGAAATTATAAGAACACTATTCATAATAATTATCAGGAAAACTACTAAGCAATTCACATGTAAAATGAGATATGGTCCACGCAGATGACTTGAACTTTCTCCGAATAATCGAATATTCAATTTGATATTATATCCATAGGAAGTAACCTAAAATAAGGAATAATAATAAAAAAAGAATAATTAATCTTTGGGAATAAATTTTCTAAAAAAAACTTCAAATTTATTACAGAATTTATACGTCTGAAGTGGTTTTAAAGAACCAAATGTGATATGCAGTGTCGATGCTGGTGAACATTGAATCGTTTGTGTATTCGAGTTGGTCTCCAGATTGGCGGGAGACAAGATGGCTCTCATTGCCTAATCGTGTACTGAATGGCAGAAGATTGGAGAAATACGATCAGAAGTACTATTGTACATTATATTAACGTTTATTTACAGACTTTGGCAATGATTAACCATTGTAAATCTGTTTCGTTACCGCTTGAAGAATAAACAATCGTGTTGCCCAAGCGTTTTCTGTTGTTCTGAGTCGGTTACAATGCATAGTGTTCTGCGTATTAAGCTAAGTCTTCTGAAACCAGCGATAGGAGCAGGATCTCTGTAATCTGGACATTTGACATGCAGGCTAAACAGTATGATGTTACTACACAGACCAGATGGCGGGCATATAGGGCTCTTTTTCAATAATCCACTGTGTACTTAATAAAATATCAAAAGCAACCAGCTACTAAATACTGCAGACAACCGAAGCTATTGCAGTTCTCTTAATATAGCCTGCACTTTTTAGAAAAAAGAAAAAATCTCAGCCAGTGTTGCTTCTCTGGCCTGCAATGAAATTTATAAATTATGAAGTATTGGTTTGCTTCAGGGACTTTCGATCAGTTAGATAACCACTGGAAAACCAAGGAGTACTGGGCAGTCCTTTCGTCAGTCTAGTTTAATGCTCCTCAATAGTACGCACCGAATATGGTTCAAACACAGAAGCTTCCGATCACAAGGTGACTTCGTAGAACATTCAGCTACTGCGACCATACCCAATGGCCCATAAATCTCAGTTTCTATCAATTTGTAATATACGGAGCAAGCGCCAGCCAGTGTCATACTCCAGCAAATCTTCCATTATCTAACTCCAGGTGACTTTCTATATATAGCCGGTCTCTAGTGAGCATTTGGATAATTATCAGATGTTGCAGTTCTAGTGAAAAGTAGTAATCAGATGGGTGTATTAAGTGAGTTAAGAGAACAGTTATTTGCTTAGGGCATTGCCTGGTGGTTGCTTAGTACGTTGCTTAGTGGTGAAACCTGGAATTCATGGACCATTGGATCGTGTCACAGTGGCTGGATATTCTACCAGCTTGCCTTATACCCAGACGTTTTGGGTTCGAGCATCAGTGAGTATATACTGCTGAAAAGTTCAAAACCGTCAAGTATTCCCTAGTTTTCCGATGGTTCTTTAAATGACATCAATGCGTGATCAAACTGATTCCTTTACTTTCCCAGAAGAACATAGAGTTCCAAGCTACAGGCTTGAAGTTTCTATAGCAGTGGTGATTACTTTTACAGGATAGGATTGCCAGCCTCATGCCAAACATTCCTTGTTTACCAGTCTTACTACCGACTTAGCTAGGTAAAGGAGTGCGTCGGCTGGGGATCGAACGCCGAACCATATGAGGCGTGGTTGGTGAGCATTCTACAGCTGTGCCACCGACGCACGTCGTCAAACTTGAGACAAATCAAATCCCTACAGACAAATTCTTGAAAATGAAACTTCACTGCAGCTATATTTAAGCATCAGAGAGATGCAAACCGTTTCTAGGATTATTATTATTGTTTCCTTTAATTCCTAGAGGAACAAAGGGCTCCAGCAGTGCATCTACATTGCGTTCGGTTCTCTGCTAGAGTCTTCACCTGGCTGCAAGTCTGCGACACGTTTTCATCTCCTCTTCACATAACCTCCTCCAAGTCACTCTTGCACTGACGACCAACTCGCCGCTTCCCTTTCGGGTTCCGCTTGAGCAATGGCTTGTCTAGTGATGTCACTTGAGGGCTTCCTTAGAGTATGGCCAATCTATCTCCATTTCCTTCTGCATATTTGTTTCACAATCGGTTCCTGATTGTTTCGCTCCCAGAGATCTCTGTTGTTGATCTTTTCTTGCCGGCCATCTGATCTTGAGTATTGAGCGAAGACAGCTGTTGTTGAAGGTGTGTAGTTTGTTTGAGGTGCTCTTTATGACGCGCCAAGTCTCTTATCCAGGATTACACATAAATATTTTAACATATATACATAACTCTGGTTGACTACAATAGAAGTAGAGTTAAGCATAACTGATTCCCACGGCAACTGAGGATAAAGTGGGTCGACTAAAGTGAAATCCCAAACATATTCATCTTGGATATCAGTTACATACTGGCTAAGTGTGTGACAAACTGCTGACAGTCATTTGAACAAGTAAGGTGGAAACAGAACATAAATTAAGACAGAATTTGAAACAGTGGCATCCAGGTTACGCAGTTAGAGACGCGACAAAGATTTAGACCAGTTGTCGACTCTATTTGCGTAACAGGTGCTTCTCTAACACGGTTGTAGTACTCAGTGTAACTTAATAGGCCTCCGTAAAGATCAGAGTACATGATACCATTTAATGGACACACTACTTATTGAATAATATCAGTAGTTGAACACTATCCATATCAACAAGTAATACTTGATAGCTAGACAAACATAATCTAGATGCTGGATAGCCATTTCGTTCATTTAGTTTCCAGTGTTTAGATCACTACTAATTTATGTGAGTGATATCCAACTACTCACATTATCCAGTTAGTAATATATAACGTGACGCATTTGCGCTTGTTTGCATGATTACCACCAACCCGCACTGAACAAGACAAATCGCTTTGTGAACAATGACTGATTTGAGTTCGACTACAAGACGGGTTTACTTATTTGATTGCCTCTTGTGAAAACAGTTCCCAGGCTTCATACCATATGCGCGTAGACACCTATGAGCTGGCTTTTAAATTATTCGCCAATATTATTATTATTGTTCCTTGGGTTCCTAGTGGAACATAGGGCTTCAACTGCACGTCTCCACTTGCTTCTTTCTTCTGCTGTACTTTGCACTTGCATCCATGTTAGTCCAGACTGTTTCAACTCCTCTTCACACGATCTCTTCCATGTCACCCTTGCACTGACGTCCCACTCGCCACTTCCTTTTCAGGTTCCACTCGACCGATGGCCTGACGCGCGATGTCACCCAGCGGCCTCCTCAGAGAGTGTCCAATCCATCTCCACATTCTCCTGCATATTTGTTGAGCGATTTGTTCTTGTTTTGTTTGTTCCCATAGTTTCTTGTTGGTTCTTGTTCTTTCCGGCCATCTGATCTTCAGTATAGAGCGAAGACAGCTGTTGATAAAGGTCTGCAACAGGCTGTTGGAAATATTCTTTGTGACCCGCCAAACTTCTGATCCCTATAGAAGAACTAACTGACTTGACGTTTGTATTGGAAATCCGAATTTTGTTGTTGATGTTGAGGAGTGACAGCGGAAGATTTCCAGATTGGTTTCAGGTTGATGAGTGTGTTTCTCGCCTTCCCGATTCTCCATTTGACATCCTCGTCCGTTCCACCTGCCTGTAGTTGAGACAATGCTCCCTAGATAAGTGAGTGAATGGAGTAACCTCTTTCAAATCCCTCCCGTTGATGATGATTGGCGCTGGATGTTGCTGCTATTGTTGTGATTGGTTGGTTATTTTCATAACCTCCGTCTTGTCTATGTTCACCTGGAGTCCTATCTTTGCTTATTCGCCAATATTAATATTTTTGAATTATATAGAGCTGAAATATACAGTCCCCGTTGACATGTTGGCACCTGGTATGATATGCGTCGAGGATGCGTTTAGAGCAACATGAAGTCGTTTATTTGATATTGTCTAACTGTAGACTCCAAGACGCACATTTCGCACTATCTGGGACTTGTCAACTGGACGCGGCTACTCCCCTCTCGACTTTCAGTGAGTGATAACACCATCACTGAAAGTCGAAGCCAATATCTATCAACTATACACTGTGACCATGTTGTTCTTAGATACCAAAATTAATATCTTTCCAATACTACACTTCTTTATAATTGATTAACTTACCCATGAACCTAGAAGACCAAAATCACTTTCAGCAAATGTTGATTCATCTGGAACATCAGGTACACGAAGTAAGTCTTCTTCGACTTCAGTAGCACCTTGACCTTCTTCAACACTACCATCATCTTTATATGTAGTTAAAATGATTGGACCACTTTTCGAATTGAATGCTTTATCATGCTGTAAAATAAATTGATGAAAGTTTTACAAATTATTTTTATTATTCATATTAGGCTTTAAATCATTTTAAACTATGAACAGTTTAATAAATTTGCTGGTTTTGCTCTCCATTAAAATTATTCATATTATAGTGCTGTGATACATATTCCCACAGTTCAATACTGCATTAGCAACAGAATACCATGTACATATTTCGACACTGTATTTCATGTCGTTTAATGTAAACCAAAATCACACGCTCAATGATTGGATAAAGAATATAAACGGTAAAGTTATAAATGGCTGTTTGATCACTTGAAAATATACCGTGGTTTCCGTATCTTGCCTTCTGCTATTACATTTGTTGCTGCTGCCTGCCGGTAAATGGAAAGCCTACACCCTGCAGTTTTTAAAGAAGGCGATATATAGATCTTCTTGCAGGACGTCGATGCTGTTACGAAGTTGAATGGTGTTTAAAGTGAGTCAGCAAAGAGGCTTTTACTTGAAACACTGCTGAGAGGTCTGGCAGAAGCAGCATATCTTAGTGTGGGCGAAACACTAGCAGATACGAGCCAGGGCCACGCAGACTGCTGCCAAAAGGGGAAGGACCATACATGGTCACGGCGAGACGGGGTCGCGCATATATGATCAGAAATGCAAACAAAAAGAAGCGGGTGAACGTCAGTGAGCTCTGTAAATGGGTACAGCAAGACAAGCAAACAAAGACGCCAGCACCAAGAAGATCGGACCAACTTCAGTCTAAAGTATTATATAGGGCGACGAGTGTGGTGGTATGATACAGACAATGTGCGTTCCAACGGAATATGATTCTCACATATTCCCACAGTTCAATACTGCATTAGCAACAAAATAATATGTACATGTTTGGACATTCTATTTCTTGTCATTTAATGTAAACCAAAATCACACGGTCAGTTATTGATTAAAGAATATAAACTACTCCGGCTTCCATGTCTTGCCTTATGTTGTCACAATATTATTAAGCATATTACATAACATTATGGCTCAGTCCTAGAGTTTGTGAAGTACTTAAAACATTTCACTATAGATTTCATCAAGAACCGAAGAGTTATTCAAAACTACCCGCTGCTGGACTACTATTTCGTTGTTAGCTTGTTACTGTTGAACAATAGGAACTCAGAGATCGAACCTAGGAACTTCAAAGGAAAAAACAAGCCAGCTGAACATTTAGCTATCGAAGCAGAATTCACTGGCCGTCATTCAATATGATATGAGATTATTTCGTTATCTTATATTATTTGATTGTCTCTGGATTTAAAAAATTAAGCTTCGTAAATTCCAGTCAAGTTAAGATGTAAGAAGAGCTAACATCGACAAGACTACAGTTTTAGGGAAAGAAACCTCCATCAAGCAGTATTGTTGTTACCTTAAATGAATGACGATTGAAAGTGAAATAAAAAAACACCTTAGTTCGTTGCAGTACTCTCAACCAGCTACCCCAGTGTACCACAAGCTCGACATTCTCTCCAGTTGAATGCAAAACCACTGACATTTAGCAGATCAATTAATAGGAAACTCAAGATCTGTTTAAATGCTGTTGTGGTAATATTAGACAAGAAGAGATTAATTTTCCCTCAAAATGGAAATATTCAATACTTTGCTTTTGATGCTGACTTCCTCTGTTTTACTTTTACTTTATTTTTCTCCATTCCGAGTGAAAAATACTGATTCAGGATTTGATAATTTGATAGGGGTGAAGTTGCTTTTGCGGCATGGGCCTCACATTCAAACTTATGGTTTTCCTTGGTCAACAGTGAGTCAACTGAGAAGTGAACCATGACCTCTCGACTATCTGGCCAGTATTCTGCTATTGGACCATCTTTAATTAAACGTCAAAATCTACTTGTTTATTATTGTTATTGTCTCCTTTAGTTTCTAGAGGAACATAAGACTTCAGTCGCACGTCTCCACTGCGTGCATTTCTCTGCCAATGTCTTCACCTGGCTCCATGTCTACCCACATTTTTTCATCTCCTCTTCACATCACCTCCAACATGTCACCCCACCCTTCCACTGACGACCAACTCGCCGCTTCCCATTCGGGTTCCAATCGAGCGATGGCCTGGTGTGTGATGTCACTTGATGGTTTCCTCAGATTATGGCCAGCCGATCCACCTCCATTTCTTCCTGCATATTTGTTGCACAATTGGTTGCTGCTGAATTGGTTCGCTCATTGCCATAGAACCCTGTTGCTGATCTTCTCTGGCCGGCCATCTGATCTTGAGCGAAGTATTGAGCGAAGACAGCTATTGATGAAAGTCTGTAGTTTGTTCGAAGTGCCCTTCGTGACACGGAGCCAAGTCTCTGGTCCATATAGTAAGTAGCACTGACTTCACACTGGAACTGAAAATCCGAATCTTATTTTTCATGCTGCGTGCTGAGTAGTGATCTCCGCACAGACTTGAGGGTAATGAAAGCTTGCCTCGCTTTTCCGATCCTCGCTTTGATATCCTCGTCAGATCCGTCCGCTTTTAGTTGAGACGATGCTTCCATGTAGATTGGTGAAGGTGGCTGCTTCTTTCAGATTTCTCTGATTTATGTTGATTTTTGCCTGTTGTTGCTGTTATTGCTTTTGGCCAGGAATCTTCATCACCGCTGTTTTCTCTATGTTCACCTGAAGTGAAGTCCTATTTTTGATGCTTCTTCCTGTTGATTATTGATTTTTACTGTGGCATAATGCTGGTTGTCTGTTTCCTTCAACTTATGCTGGACTCGTCAACTGCATGTACGTATATCTTCAGTGAGTGCTGATCCTCCAAACCAACAAACATAATTTGCGAATACCAAGTGAAGACATTTTATTACTCAATGAAATAAAAGGAAATCAAGTTGACAATTCTCGGTCGGATGGAATGAAATGGGTGACCTAGATTCCACTAGTAGCTGCACTAAAAGAAAGCGGTAATCCGAAGTGCCTCAAAAAACTCGACCGAGATAATATGGAAGGTTTTTAGAAAAGAAAAGAAAAGTGGAAACTTAACACAAAATAAAACTTTTGCAATCAAAAAAAGGCAGAAAAAAGAAACACCACAGATGTTTTCTAAAAAAAATTGATTCTAAGAAATTGAAAAGGCTAAGAGAGTTTATGATTATTATTGTTATTATTAACAATAACCAAGTTATAGAAGGGAAGAAATTTGTCCCACATCAAGTACAATCACAATAATTCATTTAAATTAAGCTTGTTAACATGTTATTATAGTGGGAATCATGTTTTCTAAATTTCTGTTGATTCTATTCTATTTTTTGCTTCATTTACATTAGTTAAAGCTTTTCAGGCTTTGTAGAATGTAGCATGAACATATTGCAGTGAAGTAAATTTGGAAATAAATAAAGGATATTCTTTTCAATACGTTCTCCTGAGGCTCGTACCACAATAGCCTAGGATATCCTAGATATTCTAAACGAAATTGGTAGAGGCTAGAATTCATGGGGTCATTGATTCGGGTCTCAATGGATGAATAATCTACGAGCTTGATTTGTAACCAGAAGGTCTTGGGTTAGAGACCCCGTGGATTTATACTGCTAGGGCCAGACAGATGTCCAGTACTCCAGTACTGAAAATAATTCATGGTACGATGCACAATTTCTACTGCATCACTGCTTAAATATTTATCACGTCACATGTCGCAGGAACTAAGCATCCTAGAATGATAGATAACCGTCTGATGTAGGAATGTTTTCCTCAAAATAAATGCTTTATATCAACCAATTAACTTGGTAACAACCATGAGTTAAATAAGTGTTTAGAGGATAAAATACTTTTCGAAAATCTAAGTTTTCTTAATTATAAGATGGAAAAGTGAAGTGATAACTTATAAAACAAACAGTACAGACAAAAGCGAAGAAGTGACAGAAGGAATGGTGTCATCTCCTAAAGAAATTTCACTTGTAAGCCCCTCTAATGTATATTCAGCAAGGACTTCAACACAAGATTAGCATACAACTGTCGACATCCGTAATCGCCCATAGCCTAAACTTAATAGTGGAATCTAGGTAATTTGAAGTGACCATTGATAAACTCAAATAGAATGCGAAGGAAAAGGTCATCCGGTTTCCGGATCACCTCGATCAAGCTATGAATCATAACTCATTCATATGAGTAGCTTCAGACTCAGAAAACTCTGCAGTATGTAGCATATATCTATTTTCAATCAGGCGAGACCTACCCAGTCAATACAAGTCAAGATACAATAAACAGAGTGTGTCACGAAATCAGTAAGATGTACACATAACGAAGACTCACTAAACATCTGGGTTTCAGATATTTCTGCACAATAATTTCTAACGCCAATTTCGATCTCTCTCATTTCGCGGAAATAATGATATATCTGAGGTAAACCTCGCGATGAACGATTACTTGTCTTGTAGTTAAATCCATTGAGTGACGGATAGTTATTCATCAATCATTCCTATGGAATGGCTTAATTCTAGATCGATTGAGGCAGTAGATAGAAAGCTCCGTGCACAGACAAAAGAGGTTATCCCTAAGCTGTTGAAACCATGACTGACCTTCAGTAAAACTGTAACAGATGCACTCTGTAATCATTGCGCATAAGCACTTTGATTCATTGACGACAGTACTGTTTGACGTAAGTTCATATCGCTGAAAAGTCAATGAGTGTTAACATGCCAGAGACTTAAGTTCAAAGTTACCTAATGACTGCCTCTAACTATCTAACAACGTTTCGTAATGAATCGTAACGGCAAGTCAGCTACCTTTGTAACTAAGTTACCAAGGTCTAGACACATTACTGCACCCTAGCCGTCAGTCATTCTCTCTTTTTTCATTCCCTGAGTTCCCACTGGGAGACTGACAGGAACCAGCACGAAGTAGAATAATATCCCTTCTCATGAATCGTGTGTGATTTATCTTGTGATGGAGTTACTATTGTTAATCTATCATTTCTCACGTGTATTGTGATTCAGTGTGTGTGATCAATTCATCATCATGTTTGTCTCACCTGATCTTTATCGGAT